GGTCTTGTTTAGGTTTTATGTCTGTCTTTGAATTTTGACTTTTAAAGTGATTTTATTCATTTTTAGTTTAGTCGAACTGATGATGGAGCTGGACTCCGAAACGTTTTCAATATCGATATGGTGAATTTTCTTGGCGTTTTCTTTGCTTTTAAATTCCTTGTGAACTTGCGATATAAGCAGACTAATGATATAAGGATTATTTGATAAATGCGAGTTTGAACAGGTCTATTTTTAATTGGCCGGCTCTAGGTTAAGAACTGTAATTAAAGCTGAGGAGGCAATTTGGGCAATTGGTTCTTAAATTACTAGGATTATCTTGCCAAAGTAACGTCTGGATCGTCTGCCAGTCTGTCACGTTTTTTATGTGTTTTAAGGACCTTTAAAAACGTCACGTTTTTATGTGTTTTAAGGGCCTTTAAGGGCCTATCTTAGTGGGAAGATGGAAAAGGACTGAAGGAAAAAAAGGACTGGAACATAAAATTGAATTTGATTTTGAAAGCGGCCAATCTTTCATCTAAAACTTTTCTTTGAAGGGGTCACGATACAGCGATAAGGCAAGGGCTTTACTATAATTTAGGGAATTTTTTCGAATGGACATAAATAAAGAAAGTAATCAAATCATTATTATAATTATTATTTTTATTATTAATATTTTATTATTATTATTATAATCAATTTTATTATTCATTATCATAACTATTATTTATTTGTATTGTAATTATTATTATTATTATTTACATTCGTATTTTTTTCATTTATTATTGCACGATTTCTCTATCCATTCCTGAAAATAGTTATTGCTTCATTATATGCGATTCAGTTTTATTCAATTATATATTGATACGTATACGCAAATATAAAATAATAAGCTTCAGAATAATATAATAAAATAATATAAATAGTAATAGTAAATATTAATAGTAATAGTAATAGTGTCGAGTGATTGTCGTGGTGACAAAACTTATAAGATTAGCTTAAAAATTTTATAAGACTGCACCACATCCGACCTGCATTTTATACACATACGAATATTAAATACGTATCAATATATGTGAGCAAGAATGTGACAGAGAATATGAGGGAGAATTTGAGTGGAAACGTGAGAGCAAGTTTTGGTTCAAATATAAGGGAGAATAAGTGTGGAAGAAAGTGGGGAATAATATAAAAAGGAATATGAGGAACGAATATGAAGGAGAATGTGATCTTTAGAATGTTTTCGCGATGATTTCTCCGAATGGTAAACGATAAACGATTGCAGGATAGAGGAGGGTCACCTAACAGTTAATTTATCAGAAGCTGTGTTTAAATTTACTGATTAATCGCGTAATTAGCATATTACCAGGATCTAATCTAACTACATTAACAGTATATCAGCTGCGATCAGAGATTATGCATTTTATTTAATATTTTGTATATTTAGGAGGTAAGCAATTTATTTATGAATGATATGATGAAGTACAACTGCTCTGATGTACTCAGATGAATTAGATGATGTGGTAACATAAAGCTTGCATGTTCTTTGTAAGATTTAATTAGTACTTATAATTAGCATTGACATGAACAGAAGAAACGTTATAAAAAATGTAAGATCTTTCGGGCCGGTTATAAAGATATGAGGTATGAGAAATGAGGCTCAGGCATGTCAATAGGAGGAATGAGATATGAGATGAGGCATGTCAATATGAGGAATGAGATATGAGGACTGGACATGTCAATATGAGGTATGAGATATGAGATGAGGCATGGGGAATTAGCACTGAAGATGCCATGTCGATTTGAGGACAAGGTATGAGAATGAGAATAAACATATAATTGTTCAGAAATATGATTATCAAAAATAATAAATACGTATTCCTCGGACAATTTTGTACGAAGGGCCATTTATTTTTTGAAATTGCAATATATATAAATGATTTAATTCATAGGAATAAATAATCACACGAGTTGGCAGGTCCACTCATGAGATGTTTTAGTTATTTGTTTTCTTCCCATATTAACACTGTTACATTTTATAATCCTCTTTCGAATTTTTTTCAGATCACTAAAACAAGTTGATAAACTTTAAAACTGGTGAATATAATTTTCTGTATGAAGTTTTTAGCAAGTACATTTATCTTTAAATGTTAATATTTCGAATCAGAGTGAATCTTTTTCATTACTTCTTTCTTAATCAATGCTCAATTATTGAAGCCACGGAAAATTTAATTTGCTGAAGATGCCTTCAGTTACCGCAGCTGTCGCCGCTACCTTGACAGTGGCGCTGCTGTCCTGTACGCGTATAGCAGGTAAGCCGAAGGTCTTCGTCACACGGTCAGTGGTGACTGAATCAATGGGAATTTACGCTTTCCCTTTACCACGTTTTACTGATTTTCACTTTCAGAGCTGTTAAATTGTTAGGTACCAATTAAACCCAGTTTAGGCAAGGGGCTTTATGGACTAGTTTCCAGTGCTCCTATAAGAATAAATAAGAAAGATAGACTGAATCAATGCTGTTGCAAGCACCGCGTTGACATTGGACTTATGCCATGCTAAGTTTTACTTATATCTCGTATGTGTATACATGCAAATTCTTCACACTCCTAAATATTGTTTACAGCAACTTTTGAATGTAGCAAATAACAAGTATTTCACTCTTAGTATTAACGTCGTACTTGAGTTCAAACATTGCGTCTGACTTTTTTTGTAATGACATTTGAAAGATTTTAAATTTTGGGACGAAATTCGAGCATATTGGATAAATTAATCAAGCGGGTTGATTGAGTAGCTTTATTACGTTTTTTATACAAGTAAACACCCAAAATTTTACTTATTTAATTAAAAAATCAAGAATGTTTAGGTTTTTGGGGCTCAATTCAAATACAATAATTTTTCATCGTACACGTATTGAATTCATTAAATGATTTTCTCTATTCAATATTAATTTGACGTCAAAAAGTTATTTCTCGTTTCGTCAAGCCAAGTCAAATTTCTCGTCAAGCCAAGCCAATAATTTAAGATTATTCATTATTTAAGGAAAATTAAGACATTATCTTCAAACAAAGGTTATTAAAGTTTAATTTATTCATCAATGTATCACATTCATCTTTCCACCGTCTGTCCAATGTATATATAATACAGCGTATATAATATTCTCATGAATATGATATACGCTGTAATATGATAACAATAATATAATATTCTCATTAATAATATACAAGCAACATCCCCATGAGGGGGCGGGGAGCATTTCTCACCTACAGCGGCTGTCTATTTTCTATCAAAATGTCTATTTTCAAAATGTCTGAGTTGAATTTTTATCGACCGGTTTTCCGTATATGTGACCGGTCATAATTGCATATGCTAGTCTCATAATAATCATATTCGCGTGCCAATTAATAGAATACTTTTAATTGACGGATTGACTGAGCATTGATTTTTTCGCTGTGGCAGTGGCAGAAAAGCTAGAAATTATTGTTTATAATATTGGGCATCCAATGCAAGCTAACCTAACGCACTGTTTCATCGTGTCAGCCTACTTAATTTGGAATTAAATTATTGAATTTAAAACTTAAAAAATTAAATGATTTATAATAAAAGTTGAAATGAATTATTTGATGTTAAATTAAATCATTATTATTAATTATTTTTATTATTAAACTTTGAGAAGATACGATTACGATCTTATTTGTCATCTATAATGCTGATGCAATATCTACAAGGCTTGAATCTTACTTTAATTATTCTACATATAAATTTCATAATATTCAGCCAATATTTTTCATAGCAAAAGAAGGTTTACGGTAAATCTACAACTCTCCTTGGCAATGACGTTGAAACAACGTTGATTTAGCTATGATTCTGCTAGAAAAACGTTACAGCAACGTTATTTCAACTTGGAAGCCTTTTCGAAATTTTTAATCACTAATGTTGAAAAAATTACTATCCTCATTTATTTTGAACGTTACAGCAACGTTATTTCAACTTGGAATCAATTTCGAAATTTTTAATCACTAATGTTGAAAAAAATACTATCCTCATTATTCATGAAGAATTTACTGACCTCTACAATAGATTATCATAAATTTCGCGTAAACTTCTTGCACTCTTCCATGCCACAGCGGCGTCCGCGGGGCAGCCTGCGGGGCAGCACCACATCCGACCTGCATTAGAGTCGTCGAGCAAGGAAACGGCTATTGTCACTAACTCCTTCATAAAATCTAACAAAAATATGATTTCAACGGGAGACACTAAAGCTGTTCAAGCAAAAACTTTAGTAAAATTGGCTCCGGTATCCTCAATAAGTGACAGGATTGACTCCAATGGAACGGAAGTCAATCTTCAAGACCGACGTCGACCAGCCGTGGCAATGTCTGACGACGGAAAATTTCAGGGCTCAGCGCAAGTTTCCTTCCTGCCTCAGGGCTTGAGATCTCAGCCTATCTCTCGACTTCATTCCAAGCTTTTAAAGCCCTACATCAAATATCCAAGTCCATTTCCTGAAGACAATTCTTTCCAGGCCTACTCAGGATCTTCTGGACAATCTGAGGAGCGATTGCACGCTCTGCTAAACAACTCATATCCTTACCCTGTATCTTCGAGCACTTTCGACCGTTATCCTTATCCATATCAGCGAGATCCCTTGAGAGCTTCGGAGGATATGAGTGCTGGAGATTTAGGTGCCAGGGAGTTCCCAGGACTCCTTGGAGCGCCTCCTATCCAGTACTCCAGTCTGAGTGGCCCCAGCTTCGTAGCGGACTCCAAGGAAAACTTTTACGCCGTGGCGGGCACTACAGCCATACTCACCTGCACCATACGCAACCTCCACAACCATACTGTGAGTGAACCGCAGCATGAATTATGCACGAATTATACCTCAGCATGAATTATACCTCGGCATGAATTAGACCTTAACATGAATTATACAGCAGCATGAATTATACCGCAGCATGAATTATACCGCAGCATGAATTATACCTCAGCATGAATTATACCGCTGCATGAATTATACTACAGCATGAATTATACCGCTGCATGAATTGCACCTCAGCACGAATTATCTGATATATTATTACTTAATATTTACACTACGGTCTTAAGTGCTGATGTCAAAACCTATTTTTTTTTCGATGAGAATAGCGTTTCCTCAGAATTTGCACAATAATCAACCCAACTTTCATTATTCATTGCACAATTTTCTCACATAATTCATGACAATTTAGAGCTTTGAGATGACAAGAAGATTATAACAAATGTATTATTTACAATTATTAAATCTGCACGACATTGAGCTTTAGTCGCGCAGCGCTGCGAGCTTCACGGCGCTGAGATGTGCACGGTAGTGAGGATCTGAAGGGATTTGCGAGAGACTGAAAATTGCGTCTCTTTATTTTACGGAATAAAATGCCGTGCAAAATGGCACACGAAACGAGTGAGATAGCGGGTGAAACGAGACATACTCGTATACATTTCCTAACAAGATTCTTTGTATGATGGTTGTCTTCGCGTATGATGAAAAGTTATGAGAATATAAATAGGGGAATTTGTGTAAAATTGAAATTTGTTGAAACTCGCACGCTAATAATCATGGCTCACAGGTTTTTGCCTCTTTAAATTAATTAAGCAAATAAAGATAGTATAGTTTTGTTCACGAGTATGGATTAAAATTAATTTGTGTGTGGGATAATGCTAAGGGGTAAGTTGTCATTTAAACCATTCAATTTTTTATTCACATTATAATAAATAATTATCTTCCCAGCTACAGCTTTTGACATTTTTTCATTTTTTCTTGTATGTCATTTTATTACACACACTGCACTGCACATCTCTGCCATCCTTATCTCTGTCTCGCCTCTCAGTGATACCTAAACACTCTTCTACGAAACTAATCCCTTCTCTTTCTAATAAAATATTGTTCGAAACGAACAATATATCTTCATAATCTCAATCGTGATGGATATCATTGCCTTCTCTAATTACTTTTATATATTTATCTTTATATATTTATCTCTATGTGTTTATCTTTTGAAATATTTATTTATATACATATATATATTTTTTATCGACATTTTATCTTTACTATTATCTAATCTACCTAGGTGAGATCGTACCTTGTCTATCTAAATTTTGATGATATAATATCTCATTTCATCTATACTCTCAAGGGCATCTACAACCTCTTGAACACAATGACATTAAATGTATATATAAATATCCCATTATATGTCATTATATTTTCTCCTCACCAGGTATCATGGTCACTTCTCCATCCTATTTTCTATATCACGAGGACACCTTTACATCACTTCCACCTTTCGTTCCTTCAGCATTATCTATACCCTTCTTCCCCAACGGCGTCCATGCACTACCTCTTCAACAAAAGACATTAACCATTTTCTCCTTATCCCTCCATCAGGTATCATGGTCACTTCTCTATCCTATTTTTTATATCACGAGGACATCTTTACATCACTTCCACCTTTCGTTCCCTTCAACATTATAATCTATACCCTTCTTCCCAAACGGCGTCCACTACCTCGCTTCAACAAAATGACATTAACCACCCTTTTCTCTTCATCCCACCGTCAGGTATCATGGGTATCATATTTTTATATCATTGGGCAGCTCTCAATTACGTCTACCTTTCATTTCTCGTCAGCATTATCTTTAACCTTCTTCCCCAACGACATCCACTACCTCTTCAACACATGACATTAACCATTTTCTCCTTGTCCCACCGTCAGGTATCATGGGTCCGCGGCAGGGACATCAGGCTCCTGACTACAGGTCTCATCACCTACACGTCGGACAAGCGCTTTGTCCCGTCCAATCCTGCGAGGGGGCAGGACTGGCTCCTCAAGATCCACTACTCCAGGAAGCAGGATGAAGGGTCCTACCTCTGCCAGGTGTCCTTGTCACCACCCATCACGAAGACGATGCAGCTGCATGTTAATGGTGAGAGGGGCATGTTAATGGTGAGAGGGGCATGTTAATGGTGAGAGGGGCATGTTAATGGTGAGAGGGGCATGTTAATGGTGAGAGGGGCATGTTAATGNTTACATCGCCGTCGTGACGCTGACGAGGAAAGACGTCACGCCCTTGCACTCCGGCACCTACACGTGCACTTCCACGTGCACTCCACCAGTAAACGTCACCGTTCACGTGCTCAGAGGTACGAGATACGAGACTTGGGGTAGTTGTAGTTCTTAAAAATTATTATATATAATATTTATTGAAATTTTGACTATTTTATCATGGAAAGAAAAGGGAATTTCTGTACTAAAATACTGCTGTGGTTGGTGGTGCATCAAGCGACTGACCGGTCCAAAGCACTTGCATGTCTTGAAAAATGAAAATCATGTTTCGATTCAGAAGTAAATTCATAGGTTATGTCACATAATTATCCTCACTTCAAATCCCTCTTTACAAGACTTCTCTTTGACTTCACTTCTTGTTGTTTATTTATCTGTTTGCTACAAATCTTATAATCAATGTTTAACACACTTCTTACCTTTCCCATCGATCTGAATTTTTGCACACTTGCGTAAAGTCAGAGACAATGTATGAATCAATTGACAGAATAAATAATTTTGACATTTTAATTTTTTTTTCACATATAAGAAAATTGAAAATTATTTTTTTAATATTTGGAAATAAAATTAGAAACTCATTGTACATGTGCAACATCGGTGATACTGGATTCTTTAAAAGTGTCATGTTTAAAAATTAATTTCTAAAAGCATATTATTTGTTACAAGCTATGTCTGATTTTTTAGAGTCATAAATTTATAAATGTTGCAGCATTTGAAGCTTTAGTTGGTATAAAAATTTAAAATTTTTAGTAATAACGAACAATATTTGTTACAATTTGAATAAGAAATCAAAGTTTACAAGTATGTTGTCTTGAGTCAATGGCCTATTATTTGTACCTTAATATATTTCAAGCTGAGACTAAAAAAACTTGTTTCTATTGAGCCATGGTTTCCTGCAAAAAATATTATCTAATTTTTTTTAAAAGCACTTCTCTTTAACTTCACTACTTGTTGTTTGTTTGTCTGCTACAAATCTTGTAATCAATAATTAACACTTTTCTACTTGTTCAAGCGATCTGAAATTTTGCACACTTGCGTAAAGTCAGAGACAATGCTTGAATCAATTGATAGAATAAATAATTTTAAAAATAAGAATAGTTTTTTATATAATAATAAAACTAAAAAATATATTTTTTTAATATTTAGAAATACATAAGAAATTCTTTGTACATGTGTAACATCGGAGAAACTTGCCTCTTTAGAAGTGTTGTCTCTGAAAAATAATTTTTAACACATATTATTACGTCTACTTATAATATGTTTCACACTTGTTTTTAAAAAGTTTCAAATGCAATGCTTTTTGCGATGCTCTAGACTGTAGTTTGCTATATATTCATGCAATTAAACTGAGTAATTTATAATTACCTACTTTATTTCAAATTTGATTGCATTATTTCTATTATTGAATTATTATTACAAGTATGCTGACTTGATTCTATCAAAAAATTCTTTCATATACTAAATCACATTCACTGGTCTCCCCTAGACTTAGAGAAATACCATCCTCGATCCTTCCATTTGTTCGTATCAAGAGCGGCTCCATGTCAACATATCGAGACAATCATTCATGCGCGACGATGAACAATACTACGCTTATTTTGCACTTGGCCATCTGCTTGCGTGGCGAACACTCGATCGACTATTCCGGCGATGTGACATGTACGCTTATTTTGCACTTGGCCATTTGCTTGCGTGGCGAACACTCGATCGACTCTTCCGGTGCGAGCGCGTCGAGGCGGCAGAGAAAAAGCGAGCGTTCTTTTCTCGCAATAAATTCGCATCTCACGAACGTCTGCCACCTGATATATGCAGTGACGATCCTCCCAAACGCATGAAGAAAATTGGCAGCGATGGCGTAAATTGTCCAAACGAAGATGTGAAGGCTTTGATTGATATCTTGTGTTGTGCTTGCAATATAATTACTGGTGAAAATATTCTAAAGTTCATCAAAATTCGGTACGGAACGAGAACAAATTAGAATTTTGCTCCTTATTTCGAGTTTGATTTTATCACGAGAAGAGAAGTGAAGTGCCGCTAGGACGGATTCCTGGTGTCGAACTTTTGCATCTTTTCCAGTCAACTTTAAAAGTTAGAAAATTGCCCTAAAGTTTCATAGATTTATGAGTGATACAATGCAATAGACATTTGTACATGTAAATACTTTTAGTGGATAAATTTGTGTAGCTATAATTTCCACTTATTCGTGTGAAACTTGGCTTCCCTCTTTCCATGTCAGTTTTTCATAATTTTTTTAGAATTTTATCCATTACAATCCAGCAACATTTCAAAGCAAGAACTTAATATTTGCAGTCGACGAATTCACACCTAAAGCCGGCTCAGAAATTTATCAAAGTTTTGGAAACTTTTTGTCTTATCAATATCCGTAAGTCAGAAATGTTCAGCCTATTTAAGAAATATTTTATGCATTCATAGTTTTTACCAACACAGGCGGGTTGTGTGTTGCAAAAAGCCAGGAAACAGTTCATCTTTTTTGCAATAAGCATGTTCAAATAATTAAAATATTATTTTAATTAAAATTTAATAATATTTTTGAGCATCGAAAAGAATGGAAAAGAATTTCATACGAAAATAAAATTTAGTATTATTATATTTTTATTTTAACTTCTAATATAGAAAGTGATTTGTTTGGCCTAATTTTGCAAGTTCATCCGATGCCTTGAATGCGATTAGTTTCGTTTTCAAAATAATTTCAAATTTCATCCTTTCAAGTGTTGTTCTTACATTCATTCACGTGGAAATGAGTGGATACTGTCCAATGCAATTATTAACAATATAATAGGCATCTTCGATATTGATGACGTTCGCATGGGAATTTTCTGAGAACGTTATAATATCTAATAAAGTTCAGCTTGTTGAAACAAATGTTGGAATTGCAATACAATTGCAATAATTTAATAAATGACAATGAAAAATACACACATTTTGGAATTCTCCGTGGCCCGGTATTTGTGCAAAGAAATATTTTTGATCGGCTTGTTTAAATCTAATTTTTATTCCTAAAAATACACCAGATATTTATCATGCGATAATTTCGTTGTCGCATGTTGAGACATGTTCAAACGTGTATTCTATTAAGTGCATTCAGAACGTGTATCTTTCAATAATGTTCACTACTTGTGTCTGTAAATTGTATTCATCAAGTGTATTTGTACATTGAATTCATCACGTGTATTTGAACATTGAATTCACAACGTTTATCTGTATATTGAATTCATCACGTGTATTTGGACATTGAATTCACAACCTTTATCTGTATATTTACAGTGTCTCCTTCAGCGTTTCCTGACATTAACAAATATACTCTCATTGTCAGTCTCTGTATTTCTAATCCTTGCGAATTAATTTTTAATTGAACCATCGGATTTACTGACTGATTGAAAACCATCAGTAACACAACAGCTGGTGAATAAATAACGTGGTTAATGAAGTAACTATTTGGATTTGGGATCGCAAGACATGCATGTAAAATGATCAATGATCTGCAAGGTATTTAATCACACGTGTTTGGTTGTCCCGAGGTTAGCAAACACTGTTTAAAGCAATTCATAAGTAGTAAGTCAAAGTCAATTATTGATAGTGAGCATATATAAACTATTAGTAATGATTTGAAATTGTATGCAAATCTTCTGAAAATTCGAGTCACCAGTAGAGCACCAAAGTTATCTCTAAAATATTCAATATTTTTTTCGTAATTAGCTCGGAATCTAATGACTCTGTGGTCTCATATTAGGACGAAAAAGATATATAAATGTATAGATATAAATACATTGAGACTTATGCTAACTCACCCATGTCTGCCTCGAAGCATTTGTTTATTTTTTGATTACTAATAAAATTTATTCGAGTATTTAAGGTCCAGACAGACATCTGCCACCACCCGACATTTACACGTGAGCCTCCGCCATCACCCGACATTTACACGTGAGCCTCCGCCACCATCCGACATTTACACGTGAACCTCCGCCACCACCCGACATTTACACGTGAGCCTCCGTCACCACCCGACATTTACACGTGAACCTCCGCCTATTCTTGAGAAAATAAACTAACAAGATCCCCTGTGCATCCCAGAAAATCTTTCCTCTTGATTGCTCGTATTTTTCTTTGGCGGGCCCACTTCCTCCCACGAACACCCACTGCTCCGATCGAGTTTTCTCCTCGGGATCGTACTGGTAGAACCATGTTTCATCTCCGGTCACAATACGAGTAAGAACAAGTTCAGGGTTCTCAACCAACTTTTTCAAAATTTCCATAGAAAGTTTTACCCTTGATTGCTGCTGATCTTGGTGCAACAGCCTGGGAACATATTGAGCAGGGGTTACTCAGTTTCAAACTGCCCACCAGAATTACGTTTTCGGAACCCATGGAGATGTTGAGTGTCTCTGGTACTGATTGGGTAGGTATTCGCTTTTATTTTTCAATGAGATCACGAGCAGCAGCAATGATTTCCCCAAAAAATGATGTATGTGGCCTAGCTCTGCAGGGGTCATCTTTGGTCTCATATCTTTCGCTTCTGAGTCGACTAATCCTTTTGTGGGTTACCGATTTATTTAAGATTCTCACCATAAACTTGTTCCAGGGAGTCAATGATTTGGCTGTTCTTCCGCCCAAGCACAACGAATTTGATGTTTGACCTGGCCTCGATTTCGGCAGATGCCATGTTGCATGAACGGTTGTTGCTTTTACAACGGCGCCCCGCGTTGTGCCGTTAATTTAAGAGTTCATGTGAGAACAAAAGAGAGTTTCTCTGAGAACCCTCAGAAAAATTTACCTGTCCTTTCCTTATTTCGGGCACCAATCCGAACGTATGAAAATTGATATCCAAAGGCTTCTCTCGGAATATTTCATCGGTATAGAGTTCAATATTATTTTGGTAAATAAATTTACAATAGGTTCTTTTTTCAATTACAAAGATAGACTTCATTTAGCATCTAGGTCTTCTCTGGTATATTCTTTCAGTTGTGCACAATGTGCATCTAGCTACGTCGGTATGACCGCACGAGCACTTTTCACCAGAGTTGCCGAACATGCTGGAAGAAGTTTCCGTACTGGGCGTCCACTTGCTCAGCCGCCTCATTCATCAGTCAGACTTCATAC